AAGTTCTTTCACAAAGCCGCATGAACATTTCTTGCTTCCTGCTGGTGGTACTATTATGGAGAATGGAGAAAGGTGTTGCATTGAAATGGATTTTTGAGTCACTGAGGTTTCTTCTCTTGGTATCCAATTTTAAAAAAAAATTGTGCTATGAATGATGGAGTTTCTTTCTCACATTAGAACATGGGTAATATCCTTTTTCTTCTGGATGACCAGGATAATTACTAGATCTATTTTTGTACCATGCGGCTGCCGGGTTCGTATGTGCTTCTTGGTGTACCGGTCTCTTTTCGCTTGGCTGCTTGTCAGTTCCTGGTTTCTTCTGCCCACTGCCCCTCCTCCCTCCTCATAGATGGTTCTCTTCTCCACTGTTTACAGGGGTTGTTATAAAACTGTATTTCCTAATGAGAGCGTTATGAATGTAAACATCATTACTTGTACTTGTTTTTCATTGTGAATTAAAACCATGTAAGTTCCTCACAAATACAACTTTGTTTTAAAGAACAGAAACTGTACAGAGACATATAGAGTAAAAAGCAGTTCCTTCAAAGTGTTCCTTTCCCACCTACCTTGTCTTAATCAGGAGTCTCCAGAGACACAGACCAATAGAGTCTCTGTGTCTATAGGTATCTGTCTATGTCTATATATCTCCATATGTCTTTAGCTAGATACACACACACGTATCTATCTAGCTATATATAACTATATAACAACTCTATGTAACTATATAGACAGACACATACACACATGTACAGATTTTTTCCTGTTAAGGAATTGGTTCACACAATTGCAGAGGCTTGGCAAATCCAAAATCAGCAGGGTGGGCTGGCAGGCTGGAGACCCAGGGAAAAGTTGTAGTTCAAGTCCAAAGGTGGTCCCCTGGCAGAATTCCTTCTTGCGTAGGGGAGGTCTCTCTTTGTTCTATTCAGGCCTTCAACTGATTGAGTGAGGCCTACCCACATCACGGAGAGCAATCTGCTTTACTTAGTATACTGATTTAAATGTTAGTCTTGTCAAAAAAAAAAAATACTTTCACAGAAACGTCTAGAATAATGTTTGACCAAATATCTGGGTACAACATAAAATTATGACACCTAAAATTAACCATCATGTACACCCTATTCTCATTCCTTTCACAGAGGACATTAATACTTTGGTGTAATTAATCTAGATGTTTCCTGTGCCTTTTCCGGTTGTGTGTGTGTGTGTGTGTGTGTGTGTGTGTTGATGAGCTTTCTTCCTCTTGCCTGCACCTCTTTCATCTGTCAGTACAATAAATAATGTTACTAAAATCCTGGTGTTAGATCCTCCTTTCTTCCTGCGAGAAATGGAATTTTGGTTTGTATATTTTTGTTTTTTGATGTGCAAACCCTTACAGTTTTTAAGCAGAAACATCTCAACTCATTTTTTTGTTGTTGTTGTCACGCCAACATTTCTATGGTGTGTAGACTTAAAAATTAAGCTTATGTTTTGAGGGACTTGAATTTCTAGCTGATGTCCAAATGGAAGCTTCTACTTGTAGGTAGTTTACTGATTTTTTCTTAATAATATTATTTTATTCTCATGGACACTTTGCTTGTAATTAAAAAAAAAAACAGCTTATATGTGGCTTCGGGGACCATCTGCAAATGGGCTTCTGTCAGTTTAGCAAGTGGTTAATATTTATTTGTCTTTGTGACAAGTCCTTTGTTGCTGTTTGTCTTGGGAGACCATGGTCCAAGAGTGCCAGTAGACCCCCAGAGGGTAGGGAATGAAGGTTATTGTGTTAATAGTAATGTAAGTCAGTCTCTGCTGGGAGACGAGAGGTATCCGATACCATTTTTTCCTGAGCCCTCAAATTTAGGTTTCTCTTTTTTCCCCTGATAATCTTCATTTCTGACCTAAGGTTGTGCTGAGATTTCCAAGGCTACTCTCAGCAGCGATGTGCTGCACATTTTGGGAAGTCTTACTTTAGGTGGCCAGAAGGGGCTGTGGTTCCAGAATGGACCCTCCCAGTGGTTGTGGTAGCAAGGAATGGAGGTATGCATGATCCCAAAAGAGAGAGCACAGAACCAGGGACCAGGTGCTGAGGAGCGCTGGGGAGCACTGCTTTATTATCCACTGATGGAAATTCCTCCTTTAACCCACAGTCCTTAAGTAAAGATTGGATGGCCAGATCGGCAAAGGTGGGGGCCCTTTGGGATATTTTTGAAGGACAGGTTTTCAATATGTGTTCAAGGCTTTCAGAATATCTCTTTCCTTTAATCCAGAAATACTACTTCTAAGAATATCTCCTGAGACAGTAAGGAATGAGAAGCATGAAGCCGTGGTTCTAGGGATTTTCATTGCAGGTTTTACTCATAATTTGGAAAAATTGGAATCAATCTCTGCATCCAAGAGTGGGGATGCATTAAATAACTATGATTCTGCCCTACTAGAGTAGAGTGTTCCACATCTGGTGGAAATGTTGACACGCAGGTGTTTTGGTTGATGTGAAAAGACATTGCTGATATAGTCCTCATTGAAACGTATAACAAGTTATCCTATTTTGGTATAGAAAACATGGGCATGTGTGTGCACACGTGTGTGTATGTGTGTGTTTGTGAGATTGTGTGTGTCTGGATAATTTTTTGTCTTCTCTGTTTTCGGATTTCTTTTCTGTAATAAATATGAGCTTCTTGTGTCATTATGTAAAAAGGAAGAGGTTACGCTGTGCTCAGCATGCCTTATATATAAGTCAGGAAATTGTCGGACACTTGAGAAATACCTCCATCCAAAGAATTTCAAAATGAGATTTTGGTGCCAACCAAATGGAGTCGCAGGTTTTCTGGGCTGTTTATGCAGCAGTGAGCAGACAAGTTGGGTGGGAGAAGGCAGATGTTGGTGGCAGTGAACTCTAGTTATCAGAGACACTGAAAGCCTGGACTCACTCGTGCTCTCTTCTCTGTTAAATTAAATTATTGTGAACCATTTCACTCTATGGACGGAATGACTTACTTCAAAGAAGGCATGAGCTGGGGCATATTAAATAGGCTTTACTACAGTCACAACATGATGGAGTTCCTTATGCTGCCGAAGGGATGTCAGTATTTAAAAAAAAAATCTGTGATCGTCTCTAAAACTAAAAATTCGAATATATGTGATTCAGTATTCTTTTGGGACAGCAACCAGGAGCATATTGAGATAAGCAGGTGGGATTGCCCGTGCCCTTTCCTTGTTCCACGAAAAATGACATTCTTGTTAAACCCCTGGCCCACATAGAGCTGGGTCACCGTGGAGTTGCTCTAAACATAAGCTTTGCATCCCCTGTGCGGTGGTGTGTATAGTGGGCAGTGCTCAGCGTCACATGATCCTTAGCTCCGGATTGCCACGTCTTGAATTTTAGCATGTCACCGAATCCATGTGTGTGAGGAGTCTGAGATCATTTTCCTTTGTCACAAAGTGTTTAGTCAGCTCAGTGGCTGCACAAAATACTAGAAAGTGGATGGCTGATCAAACGGCAAAAATTCGTTTCTCACAGTTCTGGAGTCTGGGAATCCAAGACCAAGGTCGGGGTCCGGTGAGGGCTTGCTTCCTGGCTCACGGCTGACCGCCATCATCGTTGGCCCAGCATCTGCAGGAGTCCCCTGTGATGTCTTTTTTCTCTGACACCAAATACGTGTGGTTTTTCCATCCCAGTTCTCCAATTCTCTACCAATAGGGTCTGCAGCGATTCCAGGAATTCTGACACTAACGCCCCAGGGTTGGCGCAGACCCCACAGGTGTGCGGCTCCGTCCCATGAGTCTCAACCCAGGGGTCACCTTCTGACCAACTGGCTACAAATTTGGGGATTCCCACACTCTCCCTTCATGTTTGATAATTCACTAGAATAACTCACAGAACTCAGGAAAGCGCTTTACTGACTGTCACTGGTTTATTATAAAGGATAAAAGCCAACAACAGCCAAACGGAAGGGGTGCTCAGGGCGTGGTATAGGAAAGGGGTGCAGAACTTGCATGCCCTTTCTGGGGGCACCACCCTCCCAACACTTCAACATGTCACCAACCCTGAAGCCCCCCAAACCCCATTGTTTAGGGGTGTTTAAGAAGCTTTCATTAAGTAGGCATGATTTGCTCTAACCATTCAATCATTGGCTATTGGTGATTGAACTCAGTCTCCAGCCCTGCTCCCCTCCCCGGAGGTGGGGTTGGGGGGCGCTGTGCAGAGAAGGGGCAAGATCTAACCTCCTACTTGTGGGGCGGTCGGTCTTTCTAGAGACTGGCCTCCATCCTGAAGCTACCAGCACCCTGCCCCCAATGTGCATCATCTCATTAGCATGTAAGAAACTAATTTCTAAGGGTTTTCAGAGCTGTGTGCCAGGAACTGGGGACAAAGACCAAATATTTATGTTTTATGACACCACCCCTCCAGGCTGGTCTCGTAGATGCTGTTTCCATCGAGCGGCTAGACTTGATGAGGGTACCTGACAACTGACTGCTCAAAATGCTGAGCAGTTTGTGCTGTGGCCTCTTGGGGTTCCGATGCCCCTTGACGTCCTCCTTCTGGCTCACGAGGCTCCACCCCCGGGCTTCCCAGGGGTGCTCCCCCTCCGCGGCCCTCGGCTCTTCCTCACCTCCTTCCCATCTTCGCCCACCGTCTCCTTCCCAGGGAGCCCACCCCACGCACCCTACTGGAGCCACTCCGCCCCCTGCACTCACAGCCTCTCTTATCCTAGCCTCCTTTCTAACACACTCTGTCCTCACTCGTCTGGTAGGTCTCTAGTTTGCTGTTTGACCTCCCGTTAGAAGGCACACCGTACAGGCAGGGATCTTGGTTCCCAGACACTTCCCAGGCATCGTGCCTCTCTCGTGGGCATCACCCAATGAACATTCGAGAGTGAACAAAAACCTGGCTTGCTCTAAACTGCCAGCCAGAACCGGGACCCGGGGTTCTCTGTGATCCCACCGGGGCGGGGGGGGACAGTGTATGCACGCGGGGTCTGCAGTGGTCTGCCCCTCTGACCCGCTTCCCTCTTCACTTCTAGACTGGCCTTATTGTCGCCTGCTACCACGGCTTTGTGGATACTGTGGTGGTCTTAGCAGAGTGCCCCCACGTTGATGTCAACTGGCAGGACAGCGAGGGGAACACGGCCCTAATCACAGCCGCACAGGCAGGTAAGACCCGGCTTTGCCTTCCCTCCCGGAGCTGAGGCTGGGGGGGCAGCTGCCAGGCGGTTGGGGGCGGGTGGGTGGGGGGGCGGGGCTCTGCACTTGAACTCAGCCCTTGAGATTAACGTCGGGACAGGAATTGATCAGAAATCTGTTCTGCTGCTAAGAGGTATAGGAGAAGGCCGATCAGGATGCAGACACGTTATCCTTGTGCCTGGGGGACAATGCAGAGTTTATTTGTGCAGGGCCCGCTATTGGGCACATCTCGCCCTGATACTGCACAGTCTTTGAAGATGAAGCTGTAGCGGAAACCCAAGCCTCGTCATCCCTTGCCCTAGAGCACTGCGCCCCACCCAGTGCTTGGAGTTGGGGAACGGAGAGATGCTGGTGAACTCACTACCCTCACCAGTGGGTGGTAGGGACTGGATCCAATAGACGTAGTTACAAGTGATGGTGACTGGATCGATAGACATAGTTACAAGGTAACCTTACACTTGCCACCTAGATGTAAAGGAAAGCCAGGAGCTTCTTGCCGAGAGTGTATCAGTGTAACAAGGCGGGACTGTTAGGGAGAGAGCTTCCCAGTAAGGGTCCTTCAGCCCTGCCACCGAGCGCATGGTGGCTGTCCTCTTCTAGAATCGTCCTCGGACGGTTTTGGAGACAAGCCCGCGCTCGTCCGTTCCGGACCATACGTCGTTTGTCCTTGTGGTGTTAAGTGGGTTTGTCACTTGACCACCTCGAAAATTCTTGGCTTGCAAGATTGATCTGTTTGATCAGTCAGGCTCTCAGCGGCAAAGAAGCTGCTTCCTGCCGAGTTGGGAAGAAGAGGCATTTGCTTATTGACGGAATGTAGGACACCTCACGATGTCATGGGGCATGAGTGTTGGACTCAGGGCTGGGAAGCTGGAGAAAATGCCCCAGGCCACACCGCACTTTGATTCTGGAAAGGGAACATCTGCTGTGCCACCAAAGAGAGACCTGTCCCGTTTTGCATCCAGGCTTCGAAAGCTGAGATCCACAAGATCCTCAAGTGCAAGAGTGGAAGTGGACAGTGGGGGGCATTCAGTGACCCTGGGCTCCCCATTCATCGCCTCCCACTGGCCCAGGAACGGAGGATGCCCAAGTGAAGGGCAGCTCTGCCCTCCAGTAATTCTCCGGCTCAGTAGGCCTCTGATGGAGCTCTGATGGAGGGTGTGCTGGGGCCTGTGAGCGAGAACGCCCCACCTGGCCTGCTGGTTGATGACAGGGGTCGTGAAGAGGGGGGATGGGGAAGGGGGCTTGAGCTGAATGCTGAAGGAGTCAGAGGGGGGCCATTGCAGCCGAGGTATCCAAGTGCAAGGGGCGAAGAGGGGGCCCGGCCCATCTCAGGCGGTGTGGCGGGAGGGTTGTGGGTGACTAGGAGAGATGAGAGGTGGCCCCACGAGGAGGCAGGAACCGGATCATTAAAGGTCTAGGTGCAGCATGAGAACATGAGGGAATGCATTTGAGTGCCATGAGGCTGGGTGTGTGGTGACAGGGGTTGGATAATCCTCATGGGCCCAGAAGCGGCTTCAGAAGCAGAGAAGGAGCAAGACCTGCCTGACAGAAAGTGGTATGAGGAGGTTGGTGGAGGAGAGGTGGCCTCTGGGATGGCTTCTGGCATCAGGACAGGGGATGACGAATTGCCAAGGGGCATGTGTACAGTAATAGGTGGAGAAGCATTGGCTCCATTTGGCACTCAGGTCTTTGAGATATGACATATCTAAGTCAGAGGCCTCAGCGGTAGGTGGAGGGTATAAAGCTCCAAACTCCGCAATGTCTGCTGGCGTACAGAGCGGGGAGGGTTCGGGGGTTGCCGGAGAGGGGGGCTTATGTCACAGGCTACACACGAACACTAGGAGAATGTGCAATAAGACGAGGTTCCTTTCTTATTGATTTGCCAGAACTCTTTGTGTGTTAAGGGTATAGGCTGTGGTTACCCATGAGGTACCTTCTGAATTCTTGCCTATTTGAAATAATAGGAATAACGACTTGTCCTTTGACCCCCCCCCCTTTTTTTCCATTGAGTGTTGCAGGGGAAAAGTCTGATTCCAGCCTGCTTTTGTCTTTGTTGAGACCCTGATATTGCTGAGATTGGAAATATCTCCCACCTCATCTTTGACAATGAAAACACCCCCCGACCCCCCTAACTGTCGTATGGCTCAGCTCCTTCTCTGCATTTGTTTTGACTTACATTAGGTGTATTTTTAGGAACTCTCTGTTAATCTCTTTGAAACGCTGTCTGCCTTGTTTTGTTCTTTCTTCCTGAGATTCCCTCTTAGACATAGAATAAGTCACCTGGTCCTCATGTCACAATGTTCTTTCTCATTTTTCCCCCTATCCTTTTACTCTAAGGGTCTGAGCAAATTTTGCATATTATTTCATTAATGTGTTTCTATGCCATTCATCGGATTACATTTACTTTATTCTTCTCGAGCATCCCTGAGGTCAGTGTGTTCAGGCTTCTATAACAAAAATCCCACAAACTGGGGGAATTAAACAACAGAAATTTGTTTCTCAAAGTTCTGGAGGCTGGGAGCCCAAGATCTAAGTGGGAGGCAGGGATTTGGTTCCTGGTGAGGGCTCTCCTCCTGTGCACGGGGCGCCTCCTTGCTGTGGCCTCACATGGTGGAGAGAGAGAGTGAGGTCTCTGGTGTCTCCTCTTATAAGGACACCTGTCCTCTTGGGTCAGGGCTCTACCCTTGTGACCATCTTTAACCTTCATCACCTTCATCATCAGTCTGGTCCCACCCTGCACATTGGGGCCACGACTGGACTTTCCCAAGGTCGGATGTCCTGCAGCCTGCCCCGTCCCCACCTCCAGCAGGCCTTCTGTGGTTTCGGGCATCATGAATGCCTTCCCTCTGCGCCTTTGGTCACCCGTGGGAAGCAGGGAAGGGGACAAGACGCCGGTGTCCATGGCCCCGGTGGAGCGTTCCCTGCAGTGGGAGGGAGAGTGTAGCGTGGTTACACCATTAGGATTGCCGTGGCTGGCCTGTATGTGATAATCTGGGCCCCACACATCGGGGTGTCGCGGGGAGGTGTCTGGGCTGTGACCCAGGCTGGGTCGTGCTGGACGGTGCCTGTCCCGGGTGCTTTCTCTACTTGGCACCGCTGCTGGTCTACTAACTTGATTATAAAATATAATACACAGTGTTCCGAAGAAAACCACATAAGCAACCAAAGTTAAACACAGAAAGCCAGTCAAGTTCAGGGTGAAAATCACTTAGCTCCTCGCCCCCAGGGCCTTCTAGTTCTATTGTCTGGAAGTAACACTTGTTAATTTGATGGGTATATGGGTTTTCTTCCATCTTAAAAAAAGTGTGTATCATTATAATGTATTTTCTTTTCTTGTTTTAAGTTCTTTCTACTGGGGTCCAGATCCTTAGCTTGTTCACTGATTTGCTCAAGCTGTGTCTGCAGCTGGCTAGGTCCCAGACCCACCCTCTTCTGTCTGGTGCCCGCTCCCTGCACCTGGGCTCTGACCCTTGGGGCGCCCACCCCAGTCTGCTGTAGAACTGAATTGTTTGGGGGAGATGGATGGGGAGGGGTAAGGGTTTTTTTTTTTTTTTTTGCCGCCTTAAAAAAATCTGATTAAAAAGCATTTCCTTGTTTGTCTTAATTGCCGCAACGGGAGGGAGGAAGTGATTTTTCCCTAATTTGTTTCTGAAGGTGGTGACAGGACCTCCCAGAGCCAAAGCACACAGACTCCAGCCTCCCAAAGTTTTAGAGGGTGGTGCGTGTGGGGTTCCCGAATTAGCCTGTTCCAGACCGCGCTGTCATGAAGCCATTTGTGTTCTGGGGGTGCCTTTCGGAGGAGGGCATTTTGAGCGGCAGGTGTTCCCGGGGTCTGAAGTGAAGAATTGACTGGCCCTGGAGGCCGGGCCAGGCCAGGGGCGGGACCCTGAGAGGGTGACAGGGGGCTGCCCCTCAGTAAGCCCGCAGCCTGTGGGGCGGGACGTGGGCGTGGAGGCAGGGGTGAGGTTACCCCCCCACCCCCGGTCTGTCTCTCCTTCTGCCCCAGCCCCTCCTGAGCCACACCAGAGACCCGAGGGCCGAGAATGGGCAGGGGCTGTGTGTGGAGGCCAGCCTCGGGGCCTGAAAGCAAGGGCAGAGAAGGAAGAGGAAATGCACGGAGAGAGTCTTAGAACTCAATTGCTTCGTCAAAGGACATGTGTTTACGTAGCTGCTGCCAAGGGGCCTTTAGGAAAAAAACCATACCCATTTATACTTTGTACCAAGTTCCCAAGGGTATTCTTGCCAACCCTGGAAAAGATCAATTTTTAGTGTTTGCCAATCCCTGAATGAGGGTTTGCAGTTGTGTTTCCCTGATTCTCATTGGGGCCCAGGATCTGTGTTTCTGGGTGCAGTTTACTGAATACCCAGCAAAACAGGGCTTCGACAATGAGAAAACTGCCTTCTTTTGCAACACGACGTGTCTCAAGGCCCTAGTTAGGGGGTTGCTTCATTGAGTGGCCCCATGAGGCCGGGACTGGGGGCCAGCTTCTCACAAGGGCTGGTGACCTTTTCCTCATGATGCCAAGACTGTAGCACAGGCTCCAGGAGGGAGGAGCAAATCCGTCTGTGTGTCCTGTTCTCTAGGGCAGGAAAACATTTCCAGAAGCCTCCAGCAGAGTTTCGTTTATATCTCACTGCCAGGGCTGTGTCACACGCCCTGTGCCAAAACACGTCGCTGGCAAGGGTGATAGAATGACCCCGAATGACTTGGTCTAGTCAATGCTGGCCCCAGCAGGATCTGTGTGGTTGAGGAAAACTTTAAAGCAACCATATATTTATATTATTTGATCCTGCAACCTCACTGACGGTCTGGAATGTGGGGGTCCTGGCTTCCTATAGCACTCAGTCAGCATTTGTGAGTATACATTAGGGCACAAGTGCCTTGATCTACCTGTCGGGTGTTCTCTAGAAAGTCTAACCTCTTCAAATACTTAATGTATAATAAACATTCAGCCGAATCTGTATTAGGT